GAGAGAGAGAGAGTGGAGAAAATGAAGCCATTGTTGTCAATCGTCTTCTTGTTCTATCTCTTTTTCATTGTTCGCTCACTAGACATTTCACCTGGTTCAACCCTCTCAGCTTCCAATCGAAACCAGTCATGGCAATCCCCAAACAACACCTTCTCTGTAGGTTTCATCGCCGATGGCTCCGCATACTTCGCCGCCGTCACCTACAACGGCATCCCAGTCTGGAAAGCCGGCGGTGATTCCGGCGCCGCCGATTCCTCAGCCTCCTTCCAGTTCCTCAGCAACGGCAACCTCCGCCTCGCCAATTCCTCCGGCGCCGTCGTCTGGCAGTCCAACACCACCGGCCGCGGCGTCTCCTCCGCCGCCCTCGACGACTCAGGTAACTTCGTCCTCCGAAATTCCACCGGTGTGGTCTGGTCCACCTTTGATAACCCTACTGATACTCTCTTGCCTAATCAAAATTTCACTAGTAGCCAAAAATTGGAATCTGGGTTGTACTCTTTTAGACTTTTAAGATCTGGAAATTTGACCCTTCGATGGAATGACTCGATTGAGTATTGGAATTCGGGTGTGAATTCGTCGACTAACATAAATTTTACATCACCCATTTTACGACTTCAAACAATTGGGTTGTTATCAGTCATAGATCCATCATCTTCTGCCCCTGTGATCATGGCTTATGGCAGTGATTATGCTGAAGGGACTGATATACTTAGGTTCTTGAAGTTAGACAGTGATGGGAATTTGAGGATTTATAGCTCTCCTAAGGGTAGTGGACCAAATCCAACTGAGAGATGGGCTGCTGTTAGTGATCAGTGTCAAGTTTTTGGGTATTGTGGGGATTTGGGTATCTGTAGTTACAACGATACGAGTCCAATTTGTATATGTCCTTCGGAGAATTTTGTACCGATTGATCCGAATGATAGTAGGAAAGGGTGTAAGAGGAAGGTGGAGATTCAAAATTGTCCTGGTAGTGCAACTATGTTGGAGTTGGATCATGCAAAGTTCTTGACATACCCTCCTGAGTTGGTTTCCCAAGTTTTTTTTGTTGGTATATCGGCTTGTAGGTTGAATTGTCTTGTGAGTGGCTCTTGCATTGCCTCTACCTCATTGTCAGATGGGACAGGGTTGTGTTACTTGAAAGTCCCTGAATTCATAAGTGGGTATCAATCACCTGCTCTTCCAAGCATTTCGTATTTGAAAGTTTGTGGCCCCATAGTGCCAAACCCTTCTGCATCTTCGCTGGGAAATGGAAAGGGCAATGGTTGGAAGCTGCACGCTTGGATTGTTGCTGTTGTAGTTATAGTCACCATTTTGTGTTTGGTCACATTGGAGGGAGGTTTGTGGTGGTGGTGCTGTAGAAACAGCCCCAAATTTGGGAGTTTGTCTGCTCAATATGCTCTTCTTGAGTACGCTTCTGGCGCTCCAGTCCAGTTCTCATATAAAGAACTACAACGTGCCACGAAGGGTTTCAAGGAGAAGCTTGGAACTGGAGGATTTGGGGCTGTTTACAGAGGCGTTCTTGCTAATAAAACTATTGTTGCAGTGAAGCAGCTTGAGGGAATTGAGCAGGGTGAGAAACAGTTTAGAATGGAGGTTGCAACTATAAGTAGTACCCACCATTTAAATCTTGTGAGATTGATAGGGTTCTGTTCTGAAGGTCGTCACAGGCTTCTGGTATATGAGTTCATGAAAAATGGATCCCTCGATAATTTCCTCTTTACAGCAGAACAACAGTCTGAGAAATTCTTGAATTGGGAGTATAGGTTTAAAATAGCTCTAGGGACTGCCAGGGGTATCACGTACCTTCACGAGGAGTGTCGAGACTGCATTGTGCACTGCGACATAAAGCCAGAAAACATTCTCTTGGATGAGAATTACAACGCCAAAGTATCGGATTTTGGCCTTGCAAAACTCATAAATCCCAAGGACCATAGATACCGAACATTGACGAGTGTTAGGGGGACCAGAGGATATTTGGCACCAGAATGGATTGCAAACCTTCCAATTACATCAAAATCTGATATTTACAGCTATGGTATGGTTTTGTTGGAGGTAGTGAGTGGGAGAAGGAATTTTGAAGTCTCTCCGGAAACAAATGGGAAAAAGTTCTCTATATGGGCTTACGATGAGTTTGAGAAAGGAAATGTGAAGGGAGTTGTTGACAAAAGGCTTGTTGATCATGAGATGGATATGGAACAAGTGATTAGGGCAATTCAGGTAAGCTTTTGGTGCATCCAAGAGCAACCATCTCAGAGACCAATGATGGGAAAAGTGGTGCAGATGCTAGAAGGTATAACCGAGATTGAAAAGCCACCAGCCCCCAAGGCTGTGGTGGAAACGTCGTCGGTTGGTGGAACGAGTGTCAATGTAAGCAGTACCGTCAGCGCTTTCTCCAACTTAGCAGCTTCAGCCCCAGCTCCATCTTCATCTTCGTCACTCCAAACACAACGAATTTCGTCCTTTGTTTCAGGAAAGAATTTGGAGAAGGCATCATCAATTTCTTCACCCCATGCTTCAGGAAGGAATATGGAGAGGGCATCGTCATCTCTTTTAAGGTCTGAACGCGATTATCACACTCTTTGATGTGCAAGACCCATTTTGAAGAGGCACAAACTGGAAGGTGATGATGAGCTTTGTTCATTTGTATAATATAACGTAGTTTTGATACTGTAACTGTATCTCATTCTCAGTACTGTCATGTAGTAGACAATTTTTTTCAAGATGGGGGCTTCGTCATCACAGTTAAGCTATTTGTACAAGTCCCACTGGTTATTTCAGTAGAGGAATTGTAATATCTTAGTAATGCACATAATTATTGATTGCTTCTTTTTTCCAATAATTGTACAATCCTTCGTTATCATTAATGAAGTTCTGAAATGGATTGAAGGATTGAGAGACGAAGATTATGATCCTAAAATATGGTTTTCATTTTGGACTGATATACTTAGGTTCTTGAAGTTAGACAGTGATGGGAATTTGAGGATTTATAGCTCTCCTAAGGGTAGTGGACCAAATCCAACTGAGAGATGGGCTGCTGTTAGTGATCAGTGTCAAGTTTTTGGGTATTGTGGGGATTTGGGTATCTGTAGTTACAACGATACGAGTCCAATTTGTATATGTCCTTCGGAGAATTTTGTACCGATTGATCTGAATGATAGTAGGAAAGGGTGTAAGAGGAAGGTGGAGATTCAAAATTGTCCTGGTAGTGCAACTATGTTGGAGTTGGATCATGCAAAGTTCTTGACATACCCTCCTGAGTTGGTTTCCCAAGTTTTTTTTGTTGGTATATCGGCTTGTAGGTTGAATTGTCTTGTGAGTGGCTCTTGCATTGCCTCTACCTCATTGTCAGATGGGACAGGGTTGTGTTACTTGAAAGTCCCTGAATTCATAAGTGGGTATCAATCACCTGCTCTTCCAAGCATTTCGTATTTGAAAGTTTGTGGCCCCATAGTGCCAAACCCTTCTGCATCTTCGCTGGGAAATGGAAAGGGCAATGGTTGGAAGCTGCACGCTTGGATTGTTGCTGTTGTAGTTATAGTCACCATTTTGTGTTTGGTCACATTGGAGGGAGGTTTGTGGTGGTGGTGCTGTAGAAACAGCCCCAAATTTGGGAGTTTGTCTGCTCAATATGCTCTTCTTGAGTACGCTTCTGGCGCTCCAGTCCAGTTCTCATATAAAGAACTACAACGTGCCACGAAGGGTTTCAAGGAGAAGCTTGGAGCTAGAGGATTTGGGGTTGTTTACAGATGCGTTCTTGCTAATAAAACTATTGTTGTAATGAAGCAGCTTGAAGGAATGGAGCAAGGTGAGGGCATTATGGACATTTTAGTGTTTACATTTGATGACATCAGCAAGGTCTGTTAGGTGTATAAACGACTGTCAAAGTTTGGGAGAATCTTGACATTGTCAGGTAAAGCAGGGGAGGTTACTGTAATTATTAAAACCACATGGGAGGTCCCTGTATTTGTCAGAAACTTCAGGGGAGGTAAATGTAATTTACCCTTTATTTTAATAATAAATTTGGTTAAATGATTTGTTTATTTTGATAATTTTAGTTTTATTGTGTTATAAAAGTATAATTATCATATAATGATTTTATATGATATATATATATTAAATTATAATATTGTAAAATAAACACTCTTAGTTAAATTAAAATATCAACTATATAAAATAAATTCAACAACAATTATTTTATATAGTCTATATAAAACAAGTTAAGTTAGTACAATTTAAATTAGAATTGGGTTTGGGTTTGGGTTTGGGTTTGGACTTGTGTAGAACTCTATATGTAAATAGAAAATGCATACTGATATGTATTTTTTAGGAAAAAGTAAGCCCTTAGAATGTGCCAACTAAGAAAGGAAAAAACACTACTTTTATATATATACTAGTAGTTGACCCGTCCAATGCACATTTTTTTTTTTCTAAAAAATATTTGATGATACAATATGTGTTATAAAAGTATAATTTCAATTTTAATTTAAAATTAAAATTAAAGTATGATTTTAATTATTTATTTTGATAATATTGATGCTATCGTTCTATAAAATTGTTACTTGAATACTTATATCACTACAAAAAAATTACATTTTTTGCAACGAAACAAAATATGTCGCTAAAAGGAAAAACTTGTCGGCAAAAAGTTTTATCGACACACAGAGTTACGTTGGCAACCCATAGGCAAAAGTGAGTCAGCAAAACATTTTGCCGACAAACTTATAATTGTGTTGGTAAAAGTAATGCCTTTAGCGACAAACATAATTGTCGATAAAAGCCTTCATCCATCGTTGGCAATTTACCTTTGCGTCGGTAAAAGTAATTCAAATATGATGATTGTGTGGCACTTTTCCTGACACAAATTTTGTAACGCCCTCAAAATAATACAAATAACCCAACTCATAAGAAAAATGATTATAACATAATTGGTACATTTTCTCATAATAAAATTTGTATTACAAAAGGGGTTACATGCATTATACATTTATAAACATTCATTTTTAATCTACAGCATGTAATGCGAATTAATAACAACAAATTAAATGCCCTATGAGCTTACATCTTTCCAAAACATATCTTGGTTACAATCAAAAGTGAGCTTCGCTCATTACATCTTAAGCCCTTGGCTTCACAAAAATATACAATCAAAATGAGAAGCCCCTTACTTCCAAAAGTTTCTCCTATGCTATTGCCTTGGTGGAGGCATGCCATCATTACTTGAAAATGTTATTCCCAAGTAGGGTGAGCCACAGCCCAGTAGAAACAATCTAATACAGTATATGAAATTTAGCAAAGGTATAAGTACACTATGCATATACAACGTCAAAGATAAAGGCATCCACATTAGGTATAGTCTTAAATTACCAAACTCAATCATTAAACCATTTCCCTTCGTTTCATTTAATTACATAAGCCAATTTCATCATTTTTCAACAACCCAAATGAGATTACAACTCATTAGTTCTAGAACCACATTATCAACACGTAAGCACTTCAAACTTTTCTTTCACAGATATTTCGTTCGCGGGCAACCGTCAAACGGGACCCATGTACTCTTTCACGGATATTTCGTCCGTGGGCAGCCGTCAAACGGGACCCATGTAAACGTAGGCCATACAAGCACTACAATTGCCATTTTATGGATATTTCGTCCGTGGGCTAGGCACCCATGTATAATTTCGGGACTTTCACCCAGGACAATCCGCCCAACTTAATTATAATGAAGTCCATTCTCTTTCTCCTCCCAAACAATCATTCATACATATGCAATATATTTAATCACAAACTCAAACAATGGAGTACATCCTCTTTCCATTCCCAACTAACCATACATATACAATGTATATAAATATAGTCATATTCAATGACAAGCACAAGTGATTAGTTTCAATTCACCTAATCCGCGTGCAATTTCTAGAACAATTATAGTTATCCTCCACCGATAGCTCAATATAGTTATTTCTAAACAGATATAAAATCTCATAACAGATAGTTTATTCGAAACTATCAAAGAATGGAATATCACATAACCAATCTCACCATTCATATCAATACCCTTTCAATTTCACATTTTTAATGTCAATTTCCATTATTTTTACAAAATAATAATTTCATTCAATTAGGGCAAATTCCCTTTTTTCTCCAAATATTAGCCAAGTGCCAAAATCATCAAATCATACACAATACAACATCATTTTCAAACCCCTCAAGCATTTATTTCACCTTTACCCAAAAATCCCTCTTTTCATTTTATGCCCAAACCATAGGTTTGCCTTAAACACCCCCAAATCACATCAATGTTACACAAGATACGAATAACTAAGCTAAATATCATATAGGAGTGTAGAAAAGATCCCTACCTCATGCTTAGATGAGAGAGAAGAGAAAAAAGCTCAAAAGTCAACGGCGACGAAGCAACAATTTGCCCTGATCAAAACGAAGCCCTTGACAAGCTCTACACTTAATCTCAAAGGAACAAGGTGAAAAAATCACTCTAGGTGAGTAGATTTAGAGATTTAAGTAAAAAACTTTGAGTTTTAGAGAAAGAGAAGAGAACTTACGATTTGAAAGGAAAAAGGGAGGAAAATAATAAGAGAAAAGTGGTTTGGGCCTATTTATAGTAGTAGTGAATAGCCCTAAGGTCAAATAAAATAATAGGCTCAAAAACCCCCCAAAGGTAGGGCCTATTCGAACCCCAAAATTCAAAAAAAACACGCAGAGGTCGACCCTTCGGGCAAAAGTGTTGACCCTTTAGGTAGAAAAGACAATCTGGTAATAAGCAAGGGGGTCAACCCTTAGACAGGAAGGGTTGACACTAATTTCCAACAGCTAACACACAAATTCTGCAATATACAAGGGTCAACCCTTCCTAGACTAGTGTCAACCCTATATTCCAGCAACATTTCCAGAAACTTCACTAATAGGTAAAGGTCGACCCTTAGGAAGGCTGGTGTCAACCTTAGAATAGAATTTCTAAGTCTCTAAGGAACTTTTGACAAGAACAAGTGCGAACAAACAAACCTAACGAGTTTAAATCGGATTATACTCCTCCAAAACCAACATACACAACACCAAAGATTTCCAAAATAAAATAAAGGATTCAAATACACTTCCCAAAAGCTGCGAAGGATACAAGTGCTACAACCTCCCCACTTTAAAAAATTTAGTCCCTGAAATTTTAAGTAAGTTTTAAAGCCATGATTAAACCAATCCCAAAAATGATAATCAATCAATTTCATCACCATGACCCATTTTCCGGTCATCCATTCTCATCGACTCGATACACAATTTTATCACCAAGGTAGTTCCTCTCGTGTGTTTTCAACTGCCGCGAGCCATAGGCTACTACTTTCCCCTCTTACATCAAAACACAACCCAAACATTCCCATGAGGCGTCACAATAAACCAAGTAACCCAAACCTCTCTCCGGGATAATCAAAACTGGAGCAGTGATGAGTCTAACTTTAAGTTCCTGGAACGACTTCTCACAAGTCTCATCCCACACAAATTTGACCCCCTTCCTCGTCAGGCTAGTTAAAGGTGAAGCTAGTTTAGAGAAATCTTTCACAAACCTCTGGTAATATCCAGCCAACCCTAAAAAACTATGAATCTCAAAGGCATTCTTAGGTTGTGCCCAATCTTGCATTGCCTCAATCTTGGATGAATCTACCGTCACCCCTCCCACGGATACCACATGGCCTAAGAACCTAACTTCTCTCAGCCAGAATTCACACTTCCCAAGTTTAGCATACAACTTATGGGCTCTAAGAAATTCAAGCACTACCCACAAGTGTTTCTTGTGTTCCTCCTCTGAAAGTGAATAAATCAAAATGTCATCCACAAAGACGACCACGAAATAATCTAGGAACTCACGAAAAATCCAGTTTATCAAATCCATAAACACAACCGGTGCATTGGTCATCCCAAAAGGCATCACTAGAAACTCATAATGGCCATACCACGCACGGAATGCCATTTTCGGGATATCCTCCTCCCTTACCCTCAATTGATAGTAACCCGACCTCAGGTCTATCTTAGAAAAACAATAAGACCCCTTCAACTGATCAAACAGGTCATCTATACGAGACATTGGGTACTTATTCTTAACAGTAACCTGGTTCAATTTTCACTAATCGATACAAAGCCGCAAGACTCTATCTTTCTTTTTAACAAAGAGGGCCAGCGCTCCCCAAGGCAAAATACTAGGACGGATAAAACCTTTACCTAACAATCCTTGGAGTTGAACCTTCAACTCATTCAACTCAGCAGGTGCAAACCGATACGGTACCATAGAAATCGGTGTCGTGCCAGGTACTAAATCAACAAAGAACTCAATCTCTCGGTGAGGTGGTAAACTAGTAAGATCCTTGAAAAAGACATCGGGGTATTCACACACCACGCTTGGCAGCTCAACTCGAATGTCATCACACTCATTATTCTTAAAGTTAGCAAGAAGATAACTAAGTTCACTCTACCCACGCGGATCATACACCGGTGATAAGTCTCTATCCACCCAGTCCCCCAAGAAATAAAAGTAACCCCGTTCAAGGTACATACAGTAACCCTTTGACGGTAGCAATCTATAATATCCCAGTATGATGATAACCAGTCCATACCCAAAATAACATCAAAACTCGTCATATCAAGCAAAACAAATGCAAATGGAAGTCGACGATCGGCACCCTCTATATCATAACCCCAACACCCCTGTCTCAAAATAACCTCACCACCAATAGGTGACTCTACACAAATAGGAGATGCTAACTGTGCTAACTCCAACCCCAAAATCTATGCAAATGCAGACGAGATAAAAGAATGGGATGCACCCGTATCAATCAACACATTAGCAACTGAATTGCAAAATA